GTTTAAAACAAATAGTAATGTTTCCAAACTTTTGACCAGTACTGTACTTCTGTGTAATAACAGAAAGATGGCTAGCAGAAAGAGCATCACAGTAGAGACCTGCACTCCCGCGGGAGTACCGCGGGACCCAACGCAACAGGGTGCGGCACGGGACAACTCTTGATGGGCGAGTGCGGGTGCCGGCGGGAAGAGACTCGTGTGTGTGTGCGGGATGTGGGAGAATAAAATGATTCGCGGGACTCCCGCAAAATAGAAATGATCTAAACATAAAGTGTCTAAAACATATAAATTGTTATTTATCTGTTGCACTAAAGCAAAAAGAACAACTAATATTAACATTAAAATGATTCTAGCGACATACAGCGAAAAAGTCGCTGGCAGTGTGAACGGGGTTTAAGATGTAGTCTCTGGGCTCAAATGCAGCAAATGTGTCTTCAGAGAAAATGGAGGGGAATCCCCTCTTAGGTGACTAGAGGGGAGGGATTGTGTGTGGGGGAGGGTCATTTTTAGACTTCTGTTTTATTATTATCTCACCTAAATGTTTGTTCCAGTCTATGGTTTGTTAAGTCAGTGTATTTGTTTTTACAATGGTATAGCCTATATACTTAGTATATACTATATATTTAGTTGCACAGTATATTACACACAGCACAAGGAAGTTTTAAACTATTTTTTGTAATATTCATGTAATTTACATGAATACTTACCAAGATGGACATTTTGATATTTTGCGTGCAGGATTTAAGAAATGATCTGTTAATGTTATGGAGGAAAGCACGGTGCATGTAGGGGGTGTGGTCTCAATAGCCCTGCAGTAAGCAGTGTGCTGTGTGCATGTGATTGAGCAATCTGTAGGGCAACTGAAATTGCATTAAATCAGGTTGTTTTAACCAAGATTATGCTGCAAGATTTTTTCTCAACTACATTTAAGTCCCCAGTTCCTGCAATTTTACAAATTTCCAGTTTATTCCCATTAATTCCAGTTAATTCCCATATATTCCCGTTAATCCCCATATATTCCTGTTAATTCCCATGGAAAGTTTCCAGTCTTGAAAATTCCCGGAATTTTGCAACCCTAATCAGGATGTAGCTTTTGTTCTTTTAAGTGGAACACCCCCACCTCAACATTGAGCGTGGGACGGCCAGTGTACTACTGTAGCCCACTTACAAAAACCACTGCTGTTTAGCTTAAAAACACACACGACACAGCACACTAAATAGTGCTGTTTGCTAAGACAACAGTCTCTGTTATTGCTAATATACGTGTAGGTGAGTGTCGAAACCCAAACCCACCTACCCATAAGTATTAAAGGCAAAGTTCACCCAAAAATTAACATTTTTGTTTCAACCCTGAACGAATAGTTACATTAGCCAAAAATTACAATTATGAAATTTTTGTGAAATTCATAGACAAAAAAGGTCCACTGTCTGTTCTCAGTAGCATAGAGATGTATGAAGCCCAGGTCGCACAGAAGTAACTTTCAAACCAAGCAACTTTCTGTTAAACAGTCCAGTGATGTGGCGTGACCAACTTGACACAAACAAAATTTCACCCATGAAAATTTGCAGACAAATCCTAACTGTGACCGCACGTTTACTCTCTTTGTACTAACTTAAATTCAAAGTTTAAGTTGAAGTACTAAAATTACTACAACTAACACTTAGGCGTAAGTAAAAATTAATTAAAACTAAAAAGACATAAACAAGCACATAAAAATACTAAAACTTACACTAAAATTCAAATAAAAATAAAAGGTATTTCAATATACTGTGGAACACAGAAGAAAATATTTCTAAAAAGTGTTCTTTTTTTCTTTTTCTTTTTTTTTTAAGTCAATGTGTTCTAATTTTATTTTGGACCCCATTGACTTTCATTATACTGTACACACATTTTTCAAAATATCTTCTTTTGTATTCCAGAATCAGAATCACATTTATTGCCAAATACCATGGATTTACACGTACAAGGAATTTGTATTTATAAGATAAACACTGTAAGGTTAGATGAGAAAGTAAGAGAGATAAAGTTATGAACATGAGAAGCAAAAATATAAAACTACCAGGTACTAGTGGTGTGCCATATCATACCGTCCCCGATAATACCAGTATAAATTTTTACATGATAAAAAAGTGTCATATCGCGATATCAATGATATAGTGACGCGATGACATATTGCGGATATACATTCCCTAGCGCGCACAACAACAACACCACGAGCGCACACTCTTACCGTCAAAAATAGTAGTGATGGGAAGTCCGGTTCTTTTCCACGAACTGGTTCTTTCGGACAGTTCGTTTCAATGAACCGGTTCATCGGTTCTTTTACGCCCTAACGTAATGACGTCATTCGCGATGACGTAATGATATCAAGTCTATAGTCCCGGGCCGGGATGAAAATACACATAAGTCAGTAATCATAACTTCAGTCAGTTAAAACATCATAATCATGATCTAAAAAGTTTACAATTAAGTTTTGCTCCACAAATTTGCGACGTGTTTTCTAAAAGTTAAAACTGTTTTAACTTTGCATGGCTTTCTATACATCTCTTATGTGAGATGTATAGAAAGGTTTTAACCTAATCAAGATCTTCTCCGCATTGAGCTTCTATATTTCTCTAATATTTTGAATGCATAACACAGCAGCAGCGCATCTCGTGGGCTAGACTAACAAAACATTAAAAAGAAACAACGTCACTTACAGCATCATCCCCGCATCTCGCGCGCCACTGATGACGCTCCCTGACGCACTCCTAACATTCAAATGCAAATGTTTATTTTAAATTCGACTAATATTCATTCTTTATTCACAATCTCCTCATCACAGGCAGGCACAGCACTCAATTCAGCATGTGTTCATGTTTGTGTGTGCTGTCTGCGTCACTCATAGCACGTGCCTATATCGTGCACTATATATCGAACATTTTTATATCGATATCGAAGAAGATGTACCGTCGATAAATATCGATACCGTTTTATCGCCCAGACCTAAGAGAAAGTTATGAAAATGAGAAGCAAGAATATAAAACTATAAAACTATGAAAACATAAGCAACTATGAAAACATAAGGAAGAAGCAAGTCACTGAATGGCATCTTTGGTGCATAATTTATCCTGCACTGATTGATACATAAATGATTCCTGAAATCATGTGATGTGTGTTTACTTCTCCAAAAGATTAGAATTACAACTCTCCACACTTTGCACCTGTCACCATTACAGGTGCTTCTTGACCTTATAAACTCTGGTAGTGACTGGCCACACAGACTGTGTCCATGACGATAACATTCCTTTCCAGCATCCTGCATAATTAAAGGAGTCTGTAATTGGCAGAATCAGCCACTAGGTCAGTTTACAACCGTTAGAAGGTCTTTTAATAGTCTAGCGGCACGACTCGTCTCTACTAGTGCAGATGACTGAGGAACGCTGTTTCCTCAATGACTATAGCTGTGAGGTCCAAAATTAGTCTTAATTACTTAATTATAATGACATAATGCACTTATGAAATAAAAGAGTTTATAGTTTATTGAGTTTATATTATCAACTAACAATATTGTAACAACTTGCAATGTAACCTGACGACACACAGTTTTACACCACTGCCTTGTTATCAAACCGAGATGAACTATTATATAAATAAATATATATAAATCATTTTCGGTAACTGAAATAAAGCTAAAACAAAATATAAATATGAAAAAAAAAATTTTTAACTTAAATGAAAATTATAAACATTGTCTTGATAACTAACTAAGTACTAAAAATAAATAATAAAACAAAATAAGTACTCAAATTAAGTAAAACTGAAGTAAAATTAAAATTTAAGCTAAACAGAAATATGAAAAGATAAGCACATCAAAATACTAAATTTAAAATGAAAATATAAAAATAAGAGCTAATTCTAAATATCAGTACTACAATAGTATATAAATAATAAAATGACACTGCATGTAAAATACAAGAAAGCAAAGACTATTATTATACTGTGCTCCCACTGAAGCTGTGCATGACTATACAATCACATGAGCCATCTTTAATTGTGCTTTTATGATATCTTTGGAGCCTGACAGCCTCCATTTACTCTCATTGTGTAGAGCAGCCTGGACATTATACTAAATGTCTTCTTTTGTGTTGCACAGAAGAAACATCCTGGTTTGGAAATCCATGAGGATGTGTATATGATTACAGTTTTTTAAATATCAGGATACAAGTACAATTACCTAATAAACACACACAGACTCTATTAAATAAAGAGCAGGTGTGTTGAGTTTTGGCTGTACTGTGGATCACAGAGAGTTAAACTAGAGGACTCGCCAAACCATACTGACTATAAAGTCAAACTAGCCAACTTAGAATTAACTTAGCAACTGCTCAAAACGACAGTTTTGACACAACAACTTAATTTAAGGAAATACTAGTGACTATAAGACACACCGCAATGTAACCGCCTGACCTTGGTTTTCTGATCCCCAAAAAAAGTCACCAGGGTCCGGTTTCCCGCGGACGTTCCCCGGGCCAGACGCCCATCATCATCTCACCTAATCAGGTGTCATTAGCAGCTGCTGTTCTCCTGTAAGTTACTAAAGCCTGATCATTGAAACTCAAGCAGACAGGTGTTTATCACGAGCAGCAGAACCGCATTTCAGTACAGCACGGTTAGACAAACAAGGGTTTCGTGTTTCGGATCAATCAGCTCCGGTTCTTGAGGAAACACAGCATATGAGATTCAGAATATATCATAATTCCTACAGGCTTCGTATATATGTTATATACATATGTTACACAGTAATAAGCTGTGGAATAACTCTAGAGGAGACTTTCACATCTGCAAAGATGCGTGGCTGCCATTCATCCATTTTAATCAGTTTATCAATATCCAAAGGACTCCGGCGACGGGATCTCTCGTTAGCGAAGGAAATTAGCCGTTGGAGGGTGAAAATAAAATATGAAAACCACGAAACGGAAGCGGTACGTACCAGCGGTTCGGTGTCCACAGCATTTCTTGGCGCAGAAACCCGATGCTGAGAATTAGTGAAGCTGTTAGTC